TTGGCACATCCAAATGTCTAATCATCTCACAACAAGAAAATGCACCTTACAGCATGACGATAGATGGTCATTTTGGTCCCACCATCCCTTGTTATATGGACAGAGAGAAACTGAAACAAGGAAAAAAAGAGTAGGAGAAAGAGGAACGTAGGATAGGCCTATGTGATGGGAACACTGTGATTTAGGCAGCGAGAGACCGAGATATTAGTTTTAAAGAAAAAGTCAGCTCAGCACAGGGATGTAGGCATCACATGCAGACACTTGAGAGATAATCAGTGGTTCTGGAGGAGTTACCTTCTCAATGTCACCTTTAGTTCAGTTGAGAGCTTGTAATCATCAATGTGAGAGTTGTCAACTAGCTGCTCCAAAAATTTAACATCTTCTTGACTTCGTGATAGGTGTTCGCTAAGACCAACAGGAGGAGAAACACCACGTGCTAATGGAAGTAGAGGCACAAGGGTGGCAAAACTATGTGTCACACTCTGTCTGACAGAATGATCTGAATCACTCATACACCTCAGGAGGGGAACTACTAAAAGGGGAGCATAAGGAACCAGCTCGATACCAAGTCCTTGGACAAGCAAACTAACAAGCATGCCAGCTCCTTGTTTAGAATGTACAGATGTAATGTCACCTAACATAGGCACAACATTCTGAATTACAGAACCCATCACATCCAATGTCATTGACTTGGCCATGGTTGTAATACATCTAGATGCAGCTAATCTCACGGCAATATGTGAATGACGAACACATCTGAAGATGCATGGAAGAAGAGTGAGAAGTTTTGGTCTTAACGTCTCGTCCAGCATTGGTGCAATGGAACGGACCACCTGCCACTCAAAGGAAAAAAGAATAAGAAGACATAGACAATGCTGAAGTCAAGGAGTCATGGAAGCAAGAGAACATCCAACTGAATTAGAGCACTGAAACTAATCACGTCTTTCTGAATAATTTATGAAACAATAACAAGCAAAGTGGTGGAAAATGCTACCTGTCATATACACTTCTGATGAATTTGTTTCTTGCTAAAACTTGCAGTTGCTGCTTCCGACAGGAAACAAATATATAATGTCTTAGGTGTACAATTCATTTGCAACTACACCCCTAGCCAATATCAGTTAAGCAACAACACTTGTAAATTTGTTTTTGTAAACATGCGATCAAACTGCTTCACCTTAAGGGATAGACCAGTTACACCTCTGTTACTGTTCTCTGTATGGGCAACTTGCACTCATTCCATCACGAAAGTAATGACATGATTCAATCTTAGCAAATGAAATAAGCAATTTTTCTGTAGATTCAAACATTTATCAATTTAAGTTTTTTAAAAAATGATAAAACTCAGGAGATATGTGAAAGATACTAGCAAACATATAAAGGAACTTTGATCAGAGAAGAATTTTGGTTGTTGTTCAGATAGTAAGCAGGAAAAACAAAAGGAGGAAACAAAGGCCTTCAAGGAACAGAGAATGTGTAAGAGCTTATTTTTAAGATAAGAACTCCATTTCCTTCTTCACTTCTAATATTGAGCTTCACTGTTGGTCCCCCTCCTTTCTATTCCTAATGGGTTCTTTTGGGGGCTTATTAAAATAGATATCCTTCAGGAGTTGATGAAGGGGAAATGAATAATCAGATCAGAATCAACGCAGAGAAACTAAAAACCTCCTAGAAATCCCAAGCCAACGAATTTTTCTTACTTTGATTATTGAAGCTCAACATTCGTAACAAATTCGTACCACCCAAGAAGATAATTGTGAGGCATACCCATAATAATCTACTAAAAAGAGAAACTCCCAGAAGGAATTAGGTATTCAATTTTGTTTATGATAACCTAAAAAACAATATCTGCTTTCTATAGGTATTAACATCAACAAAGGGTTGTTAATCTTTTCTTCACAAAGAGGACTCATCATGGCATCATTACCTAACAGAAGGCGCAGAGGACTGAGACCAGAATAAAAGGTAGCTTCACAAAGAGAGTCATTTCCTACTACAAAAGCAACAAAACATTACAAGTATCCCCTCTGGCCCTCGGGAAAGATCTCCCAATGTAGCAAATAAAAGAGAAAAAAATAGAGCATGGTAGGTGGCTTCATTGGCACTTGTGCACCATTCAAGAGTAAGAACGAAACTTATGTATTTTGTCCATAGAACGCAGAACGTCAGATCAATCACCCATCCACCAAGTGGATGACAACAACTTTCATGGAAAGCAATTTTTTACTTCTTGTGTACCAGATTTAGTCCCTTCTTGGATGCATTTGCAATAAACATGTAATTATCAAAAGTGCAAGAAACGAAGAATTACGACCATTGGGACTGACCTGGATATTGTTAATCAAGTTCTGATAATCTTTAACCAACTCAATAGCTCGAGTAATAAGTTTTTCATCTTCTTCAGTCATGCCTTCAAGACTACAAGGCTTAAGAACTTCAACTAAGCAGTCCCACAGCTTAGGAAGCTTTTCAAACAAAGATCCACCCAATTTTTCACACAAGTACTTCAAGGCAAGTTCAGATCCACGTCTACTGATGAAGCCCTCAACCTTTAAACGATCTTCACCAGGGGAGAGCATATGAACTTTCGATTTGTGTCTATTACTGCTACTAACTGAGGATAGAAGATCTTGCTCTTCAATTATTTCGATAGAATTCAAAACTCCGGCTTGAGGTGTCTCACAAGGATCCATGCATGTCAAACTACAGAGGTTCTTAATTAACTTGTCATTTGGTCCAGGCTTCCGTCCCATACAACGATAGATAAGTTCTGCAAGAGCCTCAGCAGCCTTACATTGTAATATCTCCTCCTTCAAAAATGAACAATTATGACATGCAAATAGCAAGTGCTCTCTTTTCAGGAAATATCACATTGAACACTTACCTGTTCTCTCTTAATAGAAGCCATCAAAGGTAAAATAATTGGATTCAGTTTCACTGGAAGTTCATTCATCCAGACAACAGCAGCGGCCAGTAAAGAAGAGACGGTAATATGCAAATTATTCTGCGAGTTGTCAAAGGAAAAACTGGAAGTTAGAAAATGATGTAATAAACTTATCCAGTTAATAAGACTCCAGGTTTAGAGATTCACCCCCAAAAGTTACCTGGACGCATTTCAAATACCCAGAAGTGGTCAAAAGCCTCTGTTTGAATGTTTCTAATTCGTCCAAGCTGTTCAGCTCGGCAGATTCCTCCCCCATAGAATTAATACTTAAGAATTGAAGTTTAGATGCAAAATTTATTGCATCATCGGCGCTAAGATTTTCTAGATCAACCTGAATGGATGACAACAAATCTTTAAACATGCCAGCTGCCTCAGTCTCATAGTAGAGCTGACGAGCTTCATTGCGCATTTTATCGTACGTTCTTGAGAGTTCAATGTAAGGAAAAAGAGAATCTTTCGTAGGAAAAGCAGGGTTAATGCAGGCTAACAAATCCATCAATTGGCTCCTAAAATTACTTGAGATGCCAGCAATAACCCTGTCCATATCCATGATGCTCCTGGTTTTCAGTTCTTTAAACCAAGAAATAAGCACCATTGAAGCTACCTGATTCACCATCAAAACTCCAGTTTAAATATGGCATATAGAAAGTATTCTCAGGAAAAAAAAAAATCATTCTCAAAAAATTGGCATATAGAAGGGGAAATATAAAGGAAATGAAGATCAATGCTAAACACTTGTTTAAGATTATGCACCTGGCGTTGAACTCCAGATAGAGAGGTAAGCGCCTTCCATAAGGGGTCGATAAAAAACTGCAAAGAACCTTCACGTAACCTAGCAGCTAAAATGCCCAAGACTGTGGCAGTAACGACACGTGTATATGTAACCGACATGTCGACATCAGCACCAACCACAATCTTTCCGCTGCTGGTGGAAGCCTCTGTATTTTTCTCCAGCACAGTAGAGCCTTCACCTGAATCTGAGCATATACTTTGAAGGGAATCGTTTTCTGGTTTCACAGCTCTCATCTTTGCAGCTGCTTTGAAGTGGCTTTTGCGGGGAAGAGCTACAGGCCAAAACATTTTTGCAGTATCCAATGATGAACCATATGGAGTAGTTGCTAACTCCAGCCAAGAAGGAAAATATGCCTTTGAAGCATCTTCCAAGTCTTCTACTGGGCACTAACAGCAATTGAAATAGATATCTCATCAAACATAAGAAGATCAAATAACTAAGAAACAATTTTCTCGGCTAACTACAAAAATATTTGCTCAAGGTTAATGATTAAGAAACGGCAATCCGGTCTCCATTATATAACATCATTTTATAGTAAATAATTTATTAATGATGGGGAAAAAAACGTACACAAGAAGTATACCAAAAAACACAGAACCTTCACTCCATTAAATAACAACATTGTTGTTCTAATTTATCTTATAGCCAATTATTTGAAGCTAGCATAATTTTTTTCCTGGATAAGCTGGCATAAAGTTCCCCCTACAACAATATATTTTTATTGAAGATCGAGAAAACCGTCTAGGGCGAACCCTTGGAACAAACCGCAGCCTACAAAACTCGGGGATAATAAGCCCGCCACTCTACCTATCTCCACTTACATAAGTGGCTTAGTTAAAATGGCACATGGCTCGAACCTGTGACCTAAATCACAAGTCCATCAACCTTTGCCACTTGAACTAAGCCCTGGGCACAATGCTGCTACCATAATATTATCATCGTCCTCTACCAAAGTGTACACTCCCACTTCACCCAACTAAAGCAACTCACTTGTGGTAGTCTAGTTCAGGGTTATATCAATTTGTTACCGGGTTATTCCTATTGCTACTCCTTTGAGTGGAACATCACATTTCTCCTTCACTTTTTTCCCATCGCCCTTTTTCCTACTTTCCAAACACATTTTATCATGAAGAAAAACATAAGAACCTACCCAAAATACTCCTTATGGGATGAAGTGACCAACCCGCTCATCAAAAACAACAAGAACAACAATATACCCAATATTATCCCACATGACCAACCCGCTCATCCTTTCTCCTTTATTTCCTTGAAGATCATCTTTTAAAGTTTCCGATGATTTAAGGGTTTTATTGTAATTGATGTCTTCAATTTAATAATCCAATTGAAAAACGCTGTAGTGCCAAACTGTTTGAAACGTACAGCATTATAACCTGCCTGGATTAAAAATCCACTGTCAGAGCCTTCCCCCGCACTACAAAACCCTCCTAGTAAGAGGACCCAAGAACAATGGATCAATGACATGGACGAAAAAAAGTCAAAAGATGACCACAACTAAGCATTTGCTTTGTTCTTTTGCTTACGTTCAGGACAAGGAGAGAAAGCAAATAGATAACACATTGCCACACAGGACCTAAATCACTTGAAGAGACTTCCACCTCTCCCCATGTCTCCCTCGGACACAATGAAACAAAAGCCAAAGACACCTTGTGGGACATATGCATATCACCTTGTCAAGCTTATTCCCCAAAAGGCCCAAACCCTCCTTCCCGAAGAACAATAAAGAAAATCCATAGGTAGCAAGTCTCTGGTCATCACTTGACTTGGAAGGTTCACTTGAACGAGAAAGGAAGAAGATTCAAATTAGATAAAGAAGGTTCAGATGAAATTCGATTAATAGCTTGTTTGGCCAAGCTTCTAAAATCAGCTTATATTTTGAAAAGTACTTTTCAAAAAAGTACTTTTGGTGAGAAGCAGTTTGTGTTTGGCTAATTAATTTAAAAAGCACTTTTGAGCAGTAATTAGTATTTGGTCAAGCTTTTAAAAACTGCTTCTAAGTATAATTTTTCTCAAAAGTACTTCTCAGAAAAGTGCTTTTGGAGAAAAGCTACTTTTTTCTGCTTCTCCTCAAAAACACTTTTTTTCCTTCTAAAAGCTTGGCCAAACACATCAATATTTGGCCAAAAAAGCACTTTTAGCCCAAAAAGAAGCTTGGCCAAACGGGCTATAAAACCATCATATGAATCCTAACCTTTCCCCAAAAAACCATCAAATGAGTGACTCCACTATCTAAGGGAAGAAATAAAATATCCATCCACTTCATTCATAAAATATCCATCCACTTCATTCTTCTATCCAACTAAATACAACCTACCAGTATCTCTAGAAAATAACTAAATAGCTGAATACCAGACCTTTTTTTTATAGAAGTAGTGTTATAAATGGCATCAAGAAGATGCATGAAAGCAGAATAAGTACGAAAGTAGTGAGTTTGTTAGCTCTTTTACAATGATCCTATGCGAAGGCTAAAGAGCTAACAAAGTCCAGCTGAATACCAGACTTATAATCACCTCCAGATATGTAATCTTAGAAAAGTCTCTTCAACTAACATAGGATAGTATCCCTCTCAATCCCAATCACCAAATAGGATATCCATAAAATAATATTTTTAGAGAATGCTCCTTTTCTGCTAGTACACTCTGATTCAAATATCAGATATCGATTAAGACGATAATGCATTATCATAGCCATTCACAGGATGTTTCTGTTGATCCAATTAAATATAGCACTATGAAAAGTGGAACGCTGATCTGGGGGTTTACTTGGGAAGGACAGGTATAAACAACAAACCTGGAGAAAGATCCTCCAAACCCTGCCTGAACACTGCACGATCTCCTCATTTGATTCAAGTAGCAAATTCTGGAAAACAATCCTGAGAGTATCACCCAAAATAAATGAAGGCCAGAAAGAGCTAGATGATTCAGCAATGCTCCTCTTATATTCGGCTTCAAGCAATCGTTCCTGCATAAGAAAATTTAAGAATCAGCTTTTTATCTTCTATACTTATGTGCACTTGCATTGTGTAAAACCAATTCATGCGAAGACAAATCAACCAAAATACAAGCGATAAGACATTGCAACTGTGATGTACACAACTAACAGCAGTCCGTTATGTTAACAGCAAATAAAAAGAGGATCAGATAAGGTAGGCTACCAAAGTCCGAATAGCTGAATAACGGACTGAAGTGATACTATGTCTCATGAAAGGCCATAATCTTGGTGCCAATGTTGATAGCATGTAAGGATTTTCTGAAGACCATGTCCCTTCCCCAGGGTCATCTTGTCGATCAATTTCATTGAGATCAAATTTCTTTTTCTCCCCAAACGTTTTTGGAATCATTTGCTCTTGAGAGTAGATCTCTGCCAACAGATTCATCACACTGCAATACCAAAGACATGGAGAAGATCAAGATTCATTGGGAACAAGTCACCAACAAATCACCAAGAGCTATAATTGGGGACAAGATAGCAACATAAAATAAATACGCAAAATTCTTGTAATAGCAGACACCAGTGTATGACAGCTAATTTTCATTTTTTATCTAATAATAACTTTATTAATAATTAATATTCTAATTAATAAACTGCTATAATTCAGAGTGGAAAATGGAGAGGTGATTAATACAGAAGATAATGGGCTAAAGAGTGAGAGGATGGAATTTTGGTGAGAGACCTAGACAATCATCCTTTTTCAAAAAAAAATAACAGAATAAATATTGAGAAAGCCTAAATCTTGTAAGAGACAGTTTTTTATAAAGTCACTGCCCATCTTTCACCCACGCCCCCACACCCCGAAAACCCCGACTATTTTTTTATTTTAGAAAGGAGGAAGGGAAATATAAATTTCAACCTAGATATGGTCGATGTCGAAAGTCAAGAAAATAGAAGTACGCATCCAGGTCAATAGTATAAAAATCTCCTTTCATTTTCGATAAAGAAGTAATTTTATAGCCTGTTTGGCGCTTTTTTCTTGGCCAAAAATGATTTTTTTGTCAAAAGTCCTCTTTTTTTCAAAGTTAAGGTGTTTTGCTAAGATGTTTGAAGGAAAAAAAGTGCTTTTGAGTAGAAGCAGAAGCAGTTTCTGAGAAGCGTTTTTCTTCTCCCCAGAACTACCTTTTTGAAAAGACTTTTGAGAAAAATACACTTAGAAGCACTTTCTAAAAGCTTGGCCAAACACTAATTGCTACTCAAAAGTGCTTTTCAAATTGATGAGCCAAACACAGACTGATTTTCACCAAAAGTACTTTTGAAAAAAGCACTTCTCAAAATAAACATATTTTAGAAGCTTGGCCAAACAGGCTATTAATAATATGAAAAAATCTATGTATACAATTGTATGGGACAGTAGAGAACCTACATAAAAAAGGAAGATGGTTCTCCACAAAACACACTCTAACTTCTATACATACAAGAACCTCGGGGTTTTTTTATAATGGAGAAAAAAAAATTGGTCTAGTGGCGCAAAGCTCGAAGCTCAACGGATAATGGACGTGCCCCTCTACTCATCTCCGCTTAAATACCAAGCTTTTATCTAAGGCAAGGTTCAAACTCGTGACGTGTGCCTAACGCACACATTACGTGTTGCACTCCTACCAATAGACCAAAGCCTTAGAGGTGACAGGAATCTCAAGAGTTCACCCGAATAAAACTAGAAACTCAAATGTAAAAGATCATTCTCAACATCACGAGAGCTCACATATTCCACTCTAATGATCGTGCCCACATTACAGCAAGTGAAGCGAGTTCCATGATTGTGCCTTCTCATTCCTTTACTGTAGGCTCGGCATTGTCCCTAGCACTGTCCAAAGTTTAACCAATTCATCACCGCCGATAATAAAGGTGTTGACACCTTGACACCTCACAATGGAATAGCAGGTAGCCCACATCTTCACTCAAACCCTCATGAAGTTGGCAAGATATATGGTTTCGCCGCTCTCCTTTGAAGGATACCTTTCCTGTACTTTCAAATGTACATCGTGCCTTGACTCTAACTCAAAAGCAAGAGTCAAGGTTGTTTATTCCTCGTAGGAGATCACAATGAATAGGAACTTGAAGGTTATAGTGAGTTCACTCTATTCTGCAACGGTGTCCCACCTATCCCTCTCTCGATAATATCTTTTGGAATCCTCCTTTTTCTAGGAAGAGTTGTTACTCATTTTTTTATAAGATCTCAACACCCTCTTACACTATGACCATTGGAAATCTATTTGGAAGAACAAGGCTCTAAACAAACTCAAATACTTCTCCTGATCAGTTGTAAAAAGAAAATGTCCCTCTCTTAATAACCTTCAATAAAGAGGCCATGCACTAGATGCTCTCTTTGCGAAGAAAATGTTGAAGACGTCAACCATCTTTTAATAACCTTCAATAAAGAGGCTATGCAATAGATGCTCTCTTTGCGAAGAAAATGTTGAAGATGTCAACCATCTTTTCCTTCACAGTAAACTTTCAAGTCAAATACTGTACTTCTTAAATGTCCAAGGCATCAAGTGTTTGTTCACCAGATACACTAAACTATTTACTTGCTAGGCAAAGGAGGAGAATGTCCAAATATTCTTCCTTTATTTGGAATACCATCCTTGCAGTCGTTTAGGGGTCATTTGGATGGAGACAAATACTAGAATCTCTGAAGACAACAAGAACAATATTGATAGACCGGAAAATATATATATATATATATATATATATATATATATATATATACACACACACACATATAATCTTCGCTTAACTTTTTGTATAAGTTGGCCGAGGACAATGTTTTCGAACTTGAGGTCGTAACAGATTTTTTGAGCTCATTATACATTGCAAAGTTCTACTCTTTTGGATCTAATCTCCATCTCTTTGCTGACATACCTCAATGATACAACACTATTACTTACCAAAACGTCTTCCCAACCTTTTATTATAACTCTTCAATGGCCACAACTGAAAGGTAGTTCAGTTCCTAGTCTTTCCTAGTCTTCTCCTTCATCACCGATCCACGGTTCCGTTCTTGTCCGCATGCCTCGCCCTCTATAACGAATGTCTCTCAATCTTAAACCTTTGCATCTTTCAGTGTGGATCCTAAGGGCAACCTAGAAAGGTGTGCTCCTTTGCAGGGTCAACAAAAACAAGAGTAACAGATAAATATTTGAAGAGGAAACTCATACATCTTAGCTGGTGCAATATGTGTAATTGCTGAGAAGATGATCCAATCCCGATGCATTGTTACTAGCACGTTTGTAATGGGTGGTCTTGAATTGGTTCAAAGTACAATGGGTAATGTCCAGCACAGTAATGGAGACATCGCTTAGATGGGGTTTAGGATGAAGAAAGAGAAGACCCACGCCTTTAGATGTTTCACCCTAGCTCATAAGTGGGTTATATGAAAAAAGAGAAATAAGATAGCTTTTGAGGGAGTTGAGAATGACATTACACCTTTGAGGGGTAGTTGTGTCTAGTTTTTTTTTTGTGCACCAATGAGGTCCCTATTTGTAAAGCTGATTGCATGAGCTTTGTAAAAAATATGTTTTATTGTAGGTTCTCAACTTTTTGGTATATTGCATGTACACGAGGATTTTCTTGCAAATATAAAACTAATTTACCTATCGAAAAATGATCTTACAAATGTTCCATCACGATTAATTGACATGTAATCCTTAAGGTTTGTTGTCGCCTTCTCTTTTTGGCGTGATGGCAATAAAAGGTACATTGATTGGGTGAGTACTAACCGTATTTTATTGTAGGTTCTAGACTTTCTAGTATATTGCATGTATACGAGGATTTCACAAGAAATATACAATTATTTAACTTATCACAAAACGATCTTATAAATGCTCCAACTAGACTATAAGGCTTGTAATCCTTAAGGTTCATCGCCCCTTCTCTTTCCGGCGTGATGGCAGTAAATGATACATTGAGTCATTGAGTCTTTTCTGGATTTTTGGATTTCTACGATGCTGCTACAGTCTTCATCAACTCTCCCTTCACCATGTTCCAACTTACCTTTTTCCTAGTGTTTGAACTCCCATACAAGGAGCACTTGTACAAGTCTCTCGACTTTTCTTCTTATTTTCACATAGTAGCAAAGCCTCTGCGATCTTGGATCTAAATAGCTTACATTCACTGGTGAACAGACTTATGCTGCCTCCTTAATCAAAGGCTTACATTCTTTAATAATTATACCGGTCTTGTTTTATAAGCTTATACAACAACAACAATGCTTCAATCCCAAATAAAGGGCCGGCTATATGAATCCTCAAATCCATCACTAATATGTTACTCCATTTAATCTAATCTTAGGCCAATATTATATAAAAAAAAATTAATAAATATAAATAATACTAGAAGTTCTTTATATTTTATACTCCCTCAGTTTCAATTTATGTGAACCCATTTGACTGGGCAGAGAGTTTAAGAAAAATGAGAAGACTTTTGAACTTGTGGTGTAAAATGAGGCAGATATATTTTGTGTGGTTATAAATCATTGCATAAAGGTAAATTATTTCCAAATAGGGAAATGAGTCATTCTTTTTAGCACGGACTAAAAAGGAAATAGGTTCACATAATTTAAAACGGAGGGAGTAATTTTTTTTGAAAAGTTAAGCTTACAATTTTACTAATCTTGCTTTTAAGCTAAAAAAGCTTACTAATGATATTAATCTTTGTCTCTTTCGGGTGACTAGATCGGCGGTACTAATCTTTCCCGTCTCTTCCTATCATTGTTCCATTGTTTCGGCGTCATGAGCCATGTTACAAACAGTCCACATCAACCCAAGCAAATATCACCAATCCACATATGTCCACCTATCAAGTCAACAAGTCATATATATCCCATCATTGTCCAGTTAGCATCTCATTGGATTGCCACCGTCAAGCGACACATCAAAGTCGCCAACTAGCAAATATCATCTACGGTCAGTGCCACATCATCATCCACTAGCAGGTTTCTAGGCAGCGCAAATGAGTGCTATATCACCATCCAGTGACATGTTTATAGACAGCATGTCACTGTCAGCACCGCAGTTTGTCAATAATCAGGACAAGCTGGCAGCATACTTGCTTTAGTTCAGTTATATAATCAAACTGACAGCATAAATATCCTCATAACTAGTCTTACTGATTCATGATAACATCACCTCCAAATCAGTTTTATTTCATGATACTGCAAATTATTTTTTTTATATCCAACTTGTCTTTTCCGTTATGATTTGCAAATTTAATCTGATACATTTTGTTGAGTTTGAGTTAACCTGTAGAAACGTCAAGAGAATTAACAGTAATGTGTTGGAATATTTCAAGGTTAATGCTCCTCTGGGATAATTAGAAATCTTGGTATTTAAATATTTGTTTAATTTTAAGTACCAAAGTTGCCTTGTAAAGACTTACCTGCTCGTAGATGGACTGAGGTCATCCAAGTCAAGCAAAATATCCCAGAGCAGCATGATTATTGAATGCAACAGTTGGCCGTTTAAAGAAACAACAGACGCTGCAGTAGGTATTAAAGCATCTGCCGCAACAGCTCTCACATCATCATCAGGATCTTCAAGCCCAGCTTTACATGCCGGGAGGACACAGCCAAGCAACTCTGGAAGCATCTCCTGTTATCATTGGAGAATCAAATTAGCAACAAAAACATCATAGTCTGAAGAATGTACATAGCAAGAGGAATACTAAGATGAGTAAACAAAAGCAGTTGAGCTTGGAAACTTCAGCAGGTAACATATGAGACCATACTGCCAACTCTGCAGGACTAAAACAATTTATCAAGTAACAGTTCTTCAACCCCCTGATTGTATTTAACATATCCACCCTCAAAGAAAACGAAGGAGACAAAAGATCAAACTGCAATGTTGTCAAGGTAGTGTGTAATCAATCTCGGAAAATACCATTCAAACCCCATCATCAAAGCAACTTTAGATCCAACTAATAGAAAGCAAAAGCAAGTGCTGGAGACTGAGTTGGTTTATTTTCTGACTCTCTTAAAAGGGCATAGAAAACAGCATCGATACATCTTCTCTGTACAAATCATAATACCTACTAAAAAGGATAAAAGAAACTAATAGAAAGAAATAACTTTCTTTGACCATCCTAGGTATTTCATTGGCCAAGATAAGCTTAACTACAGCAAAAATAGCAACGAACAATCCAACTTCATCCTTTCATTCCTCTATACACTCATACATATGATTTTCCAAGTAGGAGCATTGTTTTCTGTTTGTAAGCTCCCTCTTAACCATGTTTCTAGGTGACCATAATCGAATAATGAAAATTCTGAGTCAAAAACTTGAGCACAAACAACTTCACTACACAAAGTTCGAAGTCAAATTGCATACAACACTTATATTTATTAAGGCAAGAAGCCAGCAGAATTCAGAAAGATTCAGCAAGCACACCATCCAATAGATTAAGATTTACCTGCCGTACGGCAACCAGATACTTGATCCCCAAAAGACTCCTGTGACGAATCTCCCATTCCGGTCTACGCTGAAAAACCCAGAACAGCTAATTAAAACAGATGTCAAAAACTGTTCTGAGAGGGACACAAATCAACCATGTGTCGGTCCCAAATTGAAAACCATTGTTAGAACTTGAAATACGAAACTTCAGATGATATTAAACCTTAAAATCTTAAACTGTTTAATAGAGGGGAGACTTAATAGTTTTTGATACGGTAGAGGAGAGACTTATACAGGTCTTTTAGCACACCCTCAAGCATGCCAGATTCCTTCCTCAGCCAAGTACATTGAAAAATACTTTGACAGTGGGTGGCAACAAAGACTCAAAATCACTCTCTATGCCATTGAACTATTGAGTCCACAACACCTGTTTAGGCAAACCTCAAGGGAGGTACGTATGATTAACCTCAAATAGTTAGGTCTGTAGCAATTAGCATGATCGACGAAGATCAATCCTGTGTTGTCTAATACTAGATGGGCCCACATGTTGGAGCATAAAAGTATTTTGCCTCAGGATAAAAAAGAGAAAAAGAAGTCACTTTGCAAAAGCAAGACTGATATTTTTTCTTACATCCCCCCTCTTCACGCAACTGTCTTTACTTATATGACAAGAGATCATGACATTAAGCTGCTGATGCTATTGCTTTATTTCACATGGCAAAAGGAATGATTGACATTTTCGGTTCAAAGTTAGTACAATAGGAAATGTGTATAAAACTCTGTATCTCTTCACCTAAGTCAAACATTTTTAGCATTCCTACACAGTGGATCGGATAAATGGAGCGAAGGGAGTAATATAAGATATGGTAAGGCTTTAAAATTCTCAGTAATTGATTCAAATGAAAGTGAATTGTAAGAAGAACAACACGCATATTAGTCCATCTCGATAGGAGATTACTAGCTAGAGCGAAAGGAGTATCAACTACTATGCAAGTTAAAAATCTTAAAAGCCATACTCAGTGTGCAACGAAAGGCTGAGCTTGGTTCATATTTACCTGCATCTGCAGTAAGATATTCAGTGTCTCATGAACTAGAGTAGGATGCATGTACTTCAGCACAGCGCCTAAAGCTTGTGCACAAGTCTCACGAACAGGAGCCACAACTTGATCCGACACATAGTCTCCAAAACTGTCAATGGAAAAAAAAGCAAAGAATTGGGGGGTGAGGTGTATGTCGGTAACCTAGAGAAAAATAACCATTCTTATCAGTAATTATGAAATCAAGGGGGAAGCCCAGCAGTAGTACAGCAAAGTTGCATTCCAAAACTGTCNACCAAAACTGTCAATGGAAAGAAAAAAAAACAAAGAATTGGGGGGTGAGGTGGGGTGTATGTCTGTAACCTAGAGAAAAATAACCACTTATCAGTAATTATGAAATCAAGGGGGAAGCCCAGCAGTAGTACAGCAAAGTTGCATTCCGTAACTGTCAACAGCAAAAGAGCAGAAATTTTTTTGGGGGAGGGGGAGCAGAAAAAGAATAATCTTTTATGCAGCTTCTGTTCCTGTTTGGTATTCTCAAATGTTTTATATAGACTAATAAATTGCTTTCTTCCTTTTCCTTTCTTTCATTTTTTTGTGGTGGGTTTGGGTGGGAGCTGTTTGAGAACAAAACTAAGCTCAAAGATACCAAATCAAGGGAGGAAAGACCATACCGATCCAATGATAAGACACACAAGAAACGAATAGCACAATCTTGAAGAAATTCACAATTCTTAAGCCAAGAATGCCTAGCCAATTTAACCAAGTTCATCAGCTCACAATTCTCAGGAAGGTTTTCTAGAATATCCATCTTTTCCAACGAAGCCTTATCCACGCCACCTTCCTTCTCCGTGGATATATCATTACCCAGGCTTCCACCACTGAGATGAGATTGAGTCTCCAACTTAACAGAACCAATGCTAAATTCACCATTAGCCTGTTCAATAGCCAAACTCAATCCAGCATCTTCCACTTTCACATTAACACCACCAGGATCACCATCCCTGCTGGTACAGACCATTGTATCCATCGCCAAATAAGATGCACCTTCAGGTTCAACCTTCAGTTTCTTTGAAACTGACTCTAACTCATCAAGTGGAACTTGCATATTCAGATCAATTGGTCTTTCCCTTTTGATAGTATTCTCGTCTACCCTATCTTCCATTTTAATATTTAATGCACTATCACATCTCAAGTCTGGAATGATAACTCCTGCATTAGCACCTTGATGGGTTAAGATCTCTCTCATAGCCATGACACTGCCATGACGAACCTCCCATACTGGAGAAGAAATCAGAAACAATTATCACACAAGAAAACCATGAAAAGAATTAAGTGCAACTGCATAATGGAAGTTGCTTACAAGGATCAAACATATCAAGGATCAGTTGCTCAACAAAACTCTGAAATGGCCAAATCTTATCTCCGTCACTCTCTAATCCATCTTCATCAGAGATGTTTTCACCAAGTAGCTGCAGAAACAATAATTCAAGATTTTGATATTTACAGTTTATAATATAGAGAAAATTTGATAATTACTTGAGCACATGCTTTTGAATGCAGAAGGATGTGAAATGATATACACAAATTTACCAAGAATACTAAACCGGAAATTTAACAGTTGATGATTGGCCATTGCCATGAAAAAAAAATTCGTTTGAAACTAAGGCATAGTTGATTAAATGATTGAAACAAAACATCTTATCCGATCCACAAGATGATTTCGATTGATCTTTAAGGGAATACTAGAGCCGTAACTCTATTGATCATTAAAACTGTTTCTTCCTTGCTTGGATGAAGTAATACTGATTGTTAAAACGGAAAAGTACCTCTTTCTTCATCATACCATCAATTCTATACAACACCCAAACTCTCTGTAGGTCATATTGTTAATGAAGAAAACTCTGTTAGTTGTACATCCATACCTTCAATTCTAAACGACTGAACACCTAAAATTTATCCGCTAATACAGCTTCAAAACTACATTACACCTCCCAACAAACCACTAACAGTTAAAATTTTAGACAATGGTGCCACAACTTGCATATATGACCTCAACTTAAACTAACCAATAAACAACTAATTCACCCCGCCAGCTTTAATGTCAAATTTTCAAGGCAGTTATAAAGTTTAATGTCAATTAACCATACCTTCAATTCTATACCAACTAGAACAGTTTAAAGTACCCATTTCTACTGTTTCAAAACTCTCCTAAACTACCGAAATAATCAATAGCTCAAATTCAACAGTGGTGCCAACTTTTGCATATATGATCTCAACTGTAATTAATAGCTAACCAACTTACTCCACCCACGACCTTTAATTACATTTTCACAGGACAACGTAACTCCCAGATTCACTGCACCATACTAGCTTTAGGTGGCTCTCCAACTTATCAGCTCCACATCAACATCCTCTACTTTTGATGTCACTCCAACTCTAAACAAGTTTATGTCCTGTTTGTCTCGAGTTTACATTGCAGGCAGGAATCATGAAGCCTAAACAGGCTTCCAGATATCAAGAAATATGAGCTCCTTTTGCAGCAGCACTGCAAAGCCTGAATAGGACATCAGGGCAAAGGAAAGAGCAGCATAGGTTCCTAGCAAAGGGAGCACCTAAAGTCTTCCAGAAATCACAGAGAAAATTATCTAAGAACAGCCTGCATTCCTAAACTTAATCCTGAAGTAACTGCTCACAGGAAAAGATTGCAAGTTGCACTTCGATATTAATTCACTAGCAATGTATATCAATTTGTAAAAGAAACGATGCACCAAACAGATGGACTTACTAGAAGCAAGGCAAAGCAGCTAAGGATAACTAATCGAAGGAAAGGTCCAACTAAAAGTAGATACAGTTATGCTGCCAAAGTATAATCCTGGACAGAGACCTCGAGACCTAGACTTTTCTCAGACTAATGAACTAACTTAGGTTCGACAGCAATTGTACAAAGACGACCAAGGAATTTCAAAGTTCCCAGACTATCAAATTTATTAAGAATCTAAAAGCAAGATAACATCACGAAAACACCACAACATAGCATTCATTGACAGTGAAAAGATAAAACAAATCCCCGAGTACGATGCGCATAGCCGCATATAAGATTCACCCTTCAAGACTGCACTGAAATCAATCCACAAATGAAATAAGAAAAAAGAAAACTAAAATATATCAATAGAAAACAATACAATCATCTACTAGTTAGGATATCCGATATCCTGTAAACACTAAAAGTTCATGAACAAAAAATTAACAGGACTCTTTTAATATGAAGAAATTTCCCCTCCATTACACGCATTGATATCTTTCTCCAACATACAATGTATGATAGGAGAGCGAGCAAATACGAATTTTGAATCTCAAACGACAAAGAAAAACAAGAAAAAGAGATTATAGGAGAACCCAAAAAGATGAAGATACTAGAAGAAAATAAAATTTCAGTATGTGAATGAAAATACACATGCATATTGATGTCAGTAGCACCTTGTATCTGAATTATTTAAGCGTACAGCAAAGTTAGGATATCTTGTAACCTTATTAGAGCTCGATATATCGGGACACATGCCCCTAGGAGATATTATATCTTGTGATTGTGGAGCTTCTGTATCTCCATCCTTATTCCATCCTTTTGTTTGGTCCTTTGAACTTATTTTTGCTTTCCGCTTCAGCAAATTTAGTTCCCTTGCACTGGGCCTCCGAGATCTGACACTTGGTACCATTTTTGCAACAAAATGCCGGATATTGCCGACAGGCCTTGATGAATAATATTGAGTAGCAACACCATTTCCTGGAGAATTAGCTCTCTGCACGATCAGGTCCTCATCCCTTATCATTTCATTGACATCCATGAACTGCTCACACACATCTAATCCTGATTACGAGAATGACTACCTGTTAGTTTGCAAATAATTTATTTATTTAGCCACATGGGAGAGAGAATAAGAATCACACTGCTACATTAACTAACATAGAAGAGAGAGAGCCAAGGTCTAGATTTCTCATGTGAGAAGAAAATAGTTATCATCTAAAAATTGGTTATAATAAAGTCAATCAAGAAAAATGAGAGATGAAATTGAAGTAGCAAGCACGTTCCCTATGAGAACTTATTTCCACTAGCGAATTCTAGTTAATTGGACTAAGTAGAACCATGGAGCAGTTCTTCTAACTTAGATGCAGCATTTACAATTTAGTATGCTAACATGCACTTAGACAGCGCAGGCTCCAGAGCCCAGCAGTACCAATAACTGAACCAGTAAATGTTGAGGCTACTACACGCTGCTATATCTACCTTTTACTGATGTATAGAAACAAGAGTTCGGATTGATGCGAACAATTTGACCTAAATGATCCAAAGAACTATCCCCATCGGCATGCTCGCACATGCACTTATGGGTGATTAAGTATGTAACTGAAAATCAGGAAATTAGTTATTAAACTCACACAGCTTTGCTTCTTTCTCCCACATGCAGGTGGTCAGGTGCGTAACTGAAATTCATTCTATGAAGTACTTCGTAATAAACTCAGATAGATGCATAACTTCTTCCTCCCACTGTTGCCCAAATCTAATCACACAAGAGAAATAATAACTATCATCGACCACCCATAAAGAAATATTTTCTAGCGGTTTCTACGAAATTTACATGGTAATCGCGGTCACAAATACAGAAAACTGCAACAAGTTCTAAAAATTGGCATTCGATTGGTTGGAAAAAAAATAAATGACAGCATCAATTTCATTTGTTTCGTCTCCAACATGCGTGGAAGTCCAAGGATAACAGTAAGGAATGGCTACCTAAGAAATTTCCAATTTACTCCCTAACAACCCCCCCCCCTCAAGTTTTACTACAATTACTTGAAATGCATTTGGATAACATCCTTTTTCGATTGGGTATGGCTNACCAGCATTAGGGTTAAGATTACTCTCAGTGAATCCAGAGAGTTTTGAAGGCAGCAGGTGAAGCAATAGAAAAGGAGGCAAACAATGGAAAAGATGCTTGCGTCGCTACCATTTTCAACAATGTCAACAAGATAATCCTTGGGTAGTGTCTCAAAAACCTCAGGTTTATTAACTGACAAGCGCTCATTTCGGGTTTATCTCAAAATTGCGTCCAATTTTCTAAAAGAGAAACCAATTCTCCACAAAATTCAATATTCTTTTACTTTTAATTGTCAAGAAGGTACTTTTTTAAATAGACTTTTGTATCCACTTTCATCCAAACACAGTAAAACTCGAATTCTTATCTTAGTAACACTATGCAAGCAATGGGACCCCAAACTTAAGAGAAGAGAGTAGGTGAACATATTACTGCACAAATGAAATCCACAACTTAACTTCGGAAACTACGCAATCAATCTTGAGTAGAAATCCGTTTGTGATCAACTGCAACTACGCACCCAGATCAATCTGCCAACGTGCCAGACCTACTTATCCAAGGAGAATTGCTAAACCATACACAATAGATTTGTCATTCTCCCTGACTGATTATAGCACTCAATGTCACCTTCATATCACAAATCCTAGATCTTCTGAATCTTCTCCAATCAACCCATGGCATGCATTCACCTTCTCCCAACACTTGCTTTTTTTCCCATACTGTAGGCTTATCTCAATAAAACCAGGACAATGATAAGGTAAAATAAACCAAGACAGATTTTTAATGGCAGGTCTAATTAGAGCGTCTCTTCGAACATAGTTTGTACCATTTGACAACACTTCCCTACAGCCTGCAAAGTTTTCAGGCCCGTTTTACACTCAACCAATTTTAGTAGTTTCCATACCACAAACACACAAGCAGCCTATGTTGCTCGGACTCTTCGAAAATGTGGCAGGATACGTGTCGGATCCTCCAATAGTAGTGCATCCGACACGGGTGCGGCTACATTTTGGAGAGTCCGTGCAACATAGCAAGCAGCACTTCAATCTGAAATCTTTTTATTTTATTATAAAGTGGTTTTAATGGCATACAAATAATTAGCTATCAACAGCCTTGGTCAGCTAACCAGCTATTGATGTGAACTCACCCAATCGACGTCGCAGGTTTTGTTTCTGGCGGGCCAATCGCTCCCTTGAATTCTTGCTATTGTCCATCGGAATATCATACTCCTGAATGAAGACAATATAAAGCATCTGAGTAATGCACTTGCACACAATTCCAATATCGTACAAAAGAACAAAATTCAAAAAAGAAAAAGAGCACAAAGAATTCACTAGAACAAGTAGGGCACACATTCCGGAATCCAGGACATTGGCTTTCAATTTGTGCATTTGTCTTCAGATAAATGCAAACATTATGTAGGATCAATTCTACCTCCTCATAAATGAAGGATCAACTGTCTCCTAATCCTCCCATAAGGATTTCAATCAATCAATTACTGCTACCAAGACATGATAGAATCGGCATCACCACCTTGTACCTCATTTTCTTCCATAGATGATAGATGTAGTCCTTAACGAATTAACAATTTTGATTAAGAATATATAAGTATACCAACTAAGAGTCTACTCTTTGATGAGATTTTTCTGAGCTGAAACATCATTCTCAAAGACAACAACACCGCAAAGTCTTAACTTACAAAGCTTGCAGTTCTTCCTCATCTTTTAAAATAGCTAATTCCTCCCCCTAGATTATTGGTGGAAGCTCGAGTATTAATTCTGGTCCAGGAACAAATTTACCATATAATTCAAATTAGAAGGATATTCTTAGAAAGGAAATAAAGCAGAAGCAAAAAAGAAAACCAATAATTAGTGTAAATTTCTCAGTAAAGGAGACATTTCCCGTTATGTCAAAGAAGAAACTCTGGCATTAAGTAGTGCGGAACTCAATTCCAAGACATTAAAAATATGTACACCTTTTGCATATTATCCCCTTTCGATATTAGTGACTTGAACTCACCTCTGTGCAATAGGGAAATGGATTAACCACCCTCCTACGGTCAAAAATGTCTTGTGAATTACCACCCCCACACTGACACTCCTAAGTTGTGCTTAACCCAATAAGCTTAGGAATAGGCTAACCATCCGTTAGCTGTCTAAAAACTACTCGTCAACATTAACTTGTGCTTAACTCATTATATTCTTTCATCTTTCTCAAAAAATACTATTAGTCTTTCTTTTAAAAATATTGGAATACTTCCACATTTGCATGTTAAGATATTATCTCTCTCTCTCTCTCTCTCTCTCTATATATATATATATATATTATAAATGGTATTACAACACTAAACAGTGTGTTAAAAATTACAAAATGTGCATCCTCGATCATATCTAACATGGAATCTACCCATGTAAAGGCGAAAAGCTCTAAAAAGCGTTGTAGGTCTATTAGGGCTTTAAGCGCAAAGCACGCTTAAAGTGTTCCTACATTGCAAGATAACTTATCATATTTGGAGCTTGTTTTTGCTATTTCGGGCATATCATGGACAATGCGTCACTCCACTCTGGATTTCTTACATAGCTGGAGAAGAGATGGTTTCAATAGGAAGACACACAAGCTTTCGAACACTATTCCCATGGTTTGATGGACAATTTGGACCGAGAAACAATAGAATTTTTTAAGGCAAACTTAGCAACATACATAGCCTTAAACACAAATATATTTCTTTGGTAGCTATTGGTGCAACATGGCCTTTGTAAATGATGTAGATTCCAATGTTATCAAAGGCTGAATTAACGAACCCTGAAGCTCAGAAAAGCTCAGGGAGATTGCTTCGCCTCGCTTAAGCTGCGCTTCAATGTAAGACAGGTACTAAGACATGCGCCTCATCCCATGAGTTTTATCGTGAATCAAGTGGCACTAAACAACAAATATAATCAGAAAATAAATGTATTAGCTGTTAAGGAAAACATTATAAAGTTTTTCCACCCTTATATAAAGCTTGCATATTGCAAGGTAGTCAAGCGATTTTTCACTTCTTTGTGGGAGAGCATGGTTCTAGTTTAGAGCACTATATCCGCTCCCTCTTCTCCTTATTATTATTATTATTATTATTATTATTATTATTATTATTATTATTATTATTATTATTATTATTATTATTATCTTATTCTTTAATTTTATTACTTCTGTTGTTTCTTTTGCTTTAATTATCTTTCTATTTCTGCTGTCAATATTTTTTTTCTTCAGTATTTTCATCATAGCTTCTTTACTCTTGTATTTTCCAAACATGTTTTCAAAATGTTTTATTTGAGCCGAGGGTCTATCGGAAATAGCCTCTCTACCTCACACAAGGTAGGGATAAGGTCCGCGTACACTTTATCCTCCTAGACACCACTATCACACTGGTTATGTTGCTGTATATAAAGCTTGCATGTCCCTCTCTCCAAAATGCATGTGTAAGAGCCAAAGGTACAATCAATGCTTTGTACCTCCTCCTACTCCTTAGGCCTAGGTAAGCCCCAAGGGCTCAATTGTTGCAAGCATTCGCTAGTACATTTCGAAGACATTTAACACGTCCAACACAGTAGGTAGTGGTAACTGCAGCCAGGAACCTTCTGCATGCACCAAAAGTTAACCTAAAACAAAACACATGCCTCAATTGTACAAATTCATGTTCCAACCCTCACAACTCTCATGTTCCTCTTTCTCCTAAGTATTCATGTACATGCCAAAAGAGCTCCACCCCCGTGATTAGTTATAACAAGATACAAGATTATAAACTGACCTTGAAGTGCTCAGAAATTTTTTATAAGATCATTAAGATGCACCTCTAAGATGACATGCTGTCAGTACCATCTGCAATCTAGTAATTGCAGAAATAAGCTTTCAATTGAATCATGGGTTAAATTTTAACCTGTCTAACTTTTGTATTTTCATTCTATCAATTTCGGTCAGGTAAAATAGCATGATGGGGTAGTCCTCATTACTGAATTTAATAAGATGCATTCACAAATGTCATCTTTTCTAAGAATTAGGTGGCATGCTACAAGCTTCACGCAATCAGAAGACGACAACCAAAATAAATTGAGAAAATAACTGTTTTTTAATGTCTCATTGACAGACCCCATTAATAAACAACCATAGAATCCAACAAAGAAACTCAATAACTATAAGCAACATTTTATCAAAAGTTTCCTAATGCATTCCCACTGAGGAAGCATGACAGCTGCCAAGGTCAAAAGGAACAAAAGAGTACCTGTCCTGCAGACGCCAATAGAGCCCCAAACTCTAGTACTTTGTTCAAGTCAAAACTGCAGGCATAAAATACAAAACTCAGTGATCTAACAATGCAAGAATACCATACCTTTCTCGGCCTTTTAGCTAAGATCAAGTGTAGTAACAATGCAAGAATACCAATGAACTATATAAAAGAGCAATCAAATACTACATCTCTGCAGCCAAATAGCTTCAAAAGAAAATATGGAGTATATGATGATGTATCAAGAAAGATAAATACAGAATGTGCAACCTTCTAAATGAGGTCCCTCCTATTTTAGGATAACATTTAGGCCAAGCTACCAATTCTGCAACATTGCTTGAGATCCCTGCTTCAGACATTTTCACCTCTACAGATGAACAGACTTCAGCCAGAGATGTATGTTTAACATTTTCGGCAATTGATCCAATGGCATGAGCAGCAGCAACTCTGGTGTCCCACTTTTTACTCCTAAGATATTGCGAAACCTACACTCAAAAGGGAATTATCGTGACTCAATGTTATACATCAACATCAAGACCATATTTTTTCAACAAATAGAATAACCTGAGAATACAAGAGAAAGAACATGTTCAAGTTGAATCAATACACAGCAGTTCACCATCCAGGTAAAAGGAAAGTTTTGCAACGAAAATAGCTCGTAATTTACAGACCAAAGCTTGGGCAGAAGACACTTAACAAGCAAAGAAGCTACAAATGTCATTGTTTATTGAAATCCCTAAGTGATGAGCGACTCAAGCTACAAGAATAACACAAGAGTAGAAGCCGGTCTCTGTGTGTTTTTTCCTTGGCCTTTAAATATAGTGTCCCACAAACGTCAATGGACCTAGCCGTATAAGGTGGTTCATAAAGGACTCAAAATGTTGAGAGTTGATTGTGTAGTGGATCCCTCGCCAACAGGTAATTCCTCCTCTCTTCCAATCTTTGTTGCCCTCTCTCACTTAATATTCTACTCGTCATTTTGTCTACACTTCTCTGACTCCACTACACTCTTGGTACCCGATCTTCTTCCCGCTGTTCTACTGAAGAATGAGCAAATAACCAACCTGATGACCCGCTGTTACGCAATAACCATCTCGCAAGTCCACTATTTTCTCGGAAAATTTCTTCTTGAATATTTCTAAATTTTGTTCCACCAGAGGTTGATCACAATTCCTCTGTGCTTTCATCCTTTTGAAGAAAAAAATGAGCGACAATCTCAATCCGAACAGCATTTGATAAGGGAGGCAAAAGGAGAAAAGAAGAGAAAATCATTTCTGTTATACGAGCCAGCCATTAAAGCATCTATAAATGGTTTTAGGTTTAGGGTGTGTTTGTAGGGAGGAAAACATTTTCCGGAAAATGTTTTTCAATTTTCCCATGTTTGGTTGGCTTAAATATTTTGGAAAATATCCTCTCATGAATTTATTTTCCTCCAATTGAAAGAAAATATTTTCCCTACCAAGATAAGGGATCCAAAACTCTTTCTCAACCTTCCCCACTGTATTCCCCATCCCCACCAACCC